TAAAAAAAAAAAAAAAAGTGAAACATAATAGAAAATACCATGCTGTATGGATCATCAACGTTAATGGGTGACCAAAACAAAGAACCTTCATGTCAATTTTCAGCAAAGGGGCTAACACTATTAACACTATATATCAGCACCATGCAACTTGTATGAAAGAGAAAACTGAAAAAGAAAAAGAATTCAACAGAATATTACCAATCCAAATACCAACTATGTTAAAATTTTAGTTAGATTTCCAAGTTAACTGCAATCTGCTTTATCTCTGGTACCGTAAGCTCCCTCATTTCAACACCATCAAACTTTTTCATAGTGGAGAATATGATCCTAGAAATATTCAGATTAAGATCCATCCCAATTGCATCACTGGCTACAAGCACATCAAACTCACTAGTTTCATCATTAAACATCATTGCCTGCAATCTTAAACAGCATATTAAAAATAAATGAAAAAGAATAACAAGGAACTATAAATGATTAAGAAAGAAGATTCATCATTGCATGACAATAAAAATAGCATATCAAGATTGAGACTTGTACTGAAGAAGAAAAATAAGTAGAAGAAAAATGGCACCTGTCTTGTACGAGTCTCTGGTGGCAATGAACCATAAACCACAGAGCAAAGATGTTTCCCCGCATCCTGAATTTGGTTCTGGAAAAGTAGAAAATATCAGAAATTACTTTCAGAAGAGGAGAAAAGAAGGGGCACATGATTGGAGAGAAGCAAAGTTTGAAATATTTATATGCATACGTCAATACCAAAGTTAAAAGGAAAATCCTTTCTTCAAAAATAAAAATTGCAGGGTCTAAAACATTAAAACATATGAGAAATAAAGCTTTATTTGATATGTTAAAACGATGTAGTTTTTCATGTTGAAAAAAAAAATTTTCCAAATGATGAAAATACAATAAATGGGAGGATATTAAGGCAAGAAGGCATGTAGTTAACAACTAACCAATTGAAACCACTCAATAGCAATCAAGCAGACAGACACAGAGAAAGAAAGAAAGGGAGAGGGAAGAAAAGTATATAGATAAAAAGGAGGAAACATTAAAATTTAAGATAAGAAGTTCAACAAAATTGGAAGTTACGCCTAACCTTAATTTTATAGATCTGTTGACGTGAAAATGTTACAATGCAATCTCCTGTTTTTATATTAGAAAAAGATCCAAGAGAAACTTCTAAAGGAACAAGTGGTGAAAGTCTTCCATTAGTTTGGACCTGGGACATTAAGCATACAAAGATTACAAATTTACAATAGAAACAAACAGAAAGAGAAAGAAAACAAGCATGCCATTTTGTTTTAACATAAATGTTACCTTTAACAAGATAAAAAAATGTAAAAATTAAAAAATTGATCAAACATACATTCCAGAAAATTACAGTACCTCTACATTATCATCTGTCACTTTCAGCATTTCCTGAATAAGAGGAACAGCAGCTGCATCTCCACAAAGATGAAGTTTGTCAGCAGCAATTCCCAATAGCGCACGTGTGAATGAAAAACCCCTTGTTTTACAGCCCAACATCTATGAAGAACAAGAAAAGATAAAAAGAATGAGAAATAAGGAAGATCAATCTAAACATACCTGTCCCTTTTTCCAGACAGCAACATACTGACAATTTCTTAGATCACTCCAACATATCAACTTCAAATTTAATTAATGCAACTGTTTTGTGTAAGGATGCTGAAAATATGGCATGAGAAAATAGCTCATTAAAGAAAAACTTGCCTGTATTTCATCAATAACAGCACAATGGTAATGGGAAGTTACATCAGCCATCTCCACTGTGACACCTTTGTGCCTTGCACCATCAACTTCGTCTCTCTCTTGTCCTGTAATTAGATCAAAAGGAACTTTAGCCTTGTTCATTTATTTTTCCACTTCCCATGCCAACAATCTTAAAGGACCACAATATATACCTGCAGAGAGCCAGAGCCCATAAATTGTAAATCTGTTTATCATAAACTACAAACTCCTACTGTGTCCTGGCCAAGGGACAAAGTGAGATCCAGGTAAAATAGCATTTAAAAAATACCTGAAGTGCTTGACTCAAGTTGCTTCAAAGCATGGTATGTTTTACCACCATTGGTGGGGCCCACATGCAGGAAAACCTTGCGTTTCTTCCGTCGGGCAGTAGGATACCACATATGGGGACAGCTGGAGTGAACACACACTAGATTAAAACACAATGCATAGAAGAATGTGGAAGTGGAGCCTCTCAATTTTAGAGAACAGGAAACAGCTTTTTACTAAACAGACCAAATGATAAGCATTTGAAAAATGAAAGCTTCCTAAAAGTAAAATAAAAGTTTTCTAAGAAACTTAAAATTCAGTCAATTTCAAAGATTGTGTATCCAAAAGTTTAGTATCCCAAAATCCACAACAGCTACTTTCTTTGAAATTTCAATTCATGTGCCCAATGCCCATCCATGCAGCATTTAAAGAAATGATTCATATATCAGAAATAAATTGATATCTAAAATTTCTTGCAGAACTGAAGCTGAGATTGTATCTAAAATCCCACATTATTAAAGGCAACTAATTACCTTGTTAGAAACTGTTACCATTGTTACAGTCAAATGTTGCTTTCTTGCTAAGAGCAAGACAGTAAGAGGACATGAACCGGAAAGAAAATGAGAAATTTGTAGACTCAAACAAAAGCGAGATGAAACCCATGTCTCGAAAGTACCTTGACGGGACAATTCTTGGAGTGGTTGCTCAATAGGCGAATTACTGGTTCCATCATTATCATCCGCCTCTGATTCTGAAGAAGATTGATCAGAAGAGATAACATCAACCTCATCACTCCACGGCATTGCTCTCTTCATGGGTGCAGAAAACACAGTCCTGAAGTGAACAAAATCCACACAAATTTTCAATTCCAAGTTAAATCCCACACACCCAGAGTAGAGAATGAATCGAGCGCCGAAACAAACAAAGAAAGTATTTTTTTTGCTTAATTCTCACCGATACCAATTGAAATGGCATGGTAAGAGAAAAGGAAATGGAAGTTCCTGGTAAAAACCCTAGAAATTAACAGAGGAATCCTGCTTTGTGCAAAAAAATTTTCCGTTGGGTTGAGCTGGGTTTTTAGCTACTTTGTTTAATGTCTCAAAGACTCTCTACCATTTCTTCAGTTGGATTGGGCCCAAGCCTTTTACAAGTTCTTTCTTTGGGCTGGTCCGGGCCTAAGCCTTTTACAAGTTCTTCCGTTGGGTTGGACTGGATTTGTCAGGTAGAGGTGAAACCTATTTCCTGTAAGTATGCTACCAGTTTGGGTTAAGTACCACATCTAAACTGTGACAAAACTGGATAAGTGGTGGTTTGGAAAGAGTATTACAGTAAGTATCAAGTTAAATAATGTGTATAGGGGGTTTAAATTTATTTATCTGAGTTGTTTACTTGACTTCTTTAACTCATATGTTATATTATATGCACTTGTATAACTAAAATTTTAATTAGATTTGTATTAATTATACTCCATCTCACCTAGAATAATACATGTTGTTAGATTTTATCTTTAGATTAAATATTTGGAGATAATTCACTTAATAACTTTTCTTACTATTTTTTTCTATTTCAATTTTTTACCAAATACAATAAAGTTAATAATTTAAGAAAACTTCATTACAAAACTTAGTAATTTTCTATACAATATTTTTTTCAACAAAAACAATAACTTTAATTAAGGAAATACAAGAGGTATCTTGAACCCTTCTGTATCAAAATCTATGGAGTTAACATCAATTCAATTATTTGAGCATAACAAAACAGTGATTAAAATACAACACTTTCCATATAATATTTTTTAATCTTTCTGTATAATACTTTCTTAATAACTTTTTCAGTAAAAATTTTCTTTAAAAAGTGGTCCTCTATCCAAAAAAGGCCTTAAGTTTAGATTATACTGTTCAATATCCTACTTGCATATTAAAGATCCAAGAGGAACTAGCGGTCAAAATCTCTCATGACGTTGGACCTGGGACGTTAAACACAAGAAAGATTACAATTTGCAAATTTATAATAGAAACAAACAGGGAAAAGAACAGAAAAAAAAAAAAAGGGATAATAAGCATGCCAATCACCATTAATTATCAATAACAAAATTGCTAAAAAGGAAAAAAGACAAAGCATAACTGCCTGCTTATTGGTTTTTTTTTTTATTTTTAATCATTTTCCTGGATATATAAAGTACAGTACAACACAGACAAAGTAAGTCTTAATAAGTAAATGTAAAAAGGAAACAATAAACTTTTCTCACTTCCCATAGAATTGAACTTAAAAACTCATAACAAATTAGTCATCATCACTTCC